GGCCATGGCTCACGGGCCCAGCCTCTCCGTGGCATGTGGGATCTTCCCGGACCGGGGCACGAACCCGTGTCCCCTACATCGGCAGGTGGACTCTCAACCACTGCGCCACCAGGGAAGCCCAAGGTGACTGTATTTTTACTTGCAATGTCAGGCTCCAGTTTTCTCATCTCTGAAAGTCATCCTTTTTTCCCCCCTCTCAAAAACACTTTATGCTATCTTTTCTAAGTATCTGCTATCTCTTTCAAGCATCTAATGAGCTTGGTAATTTAATTTCAATGGGAAAAATCATTATTTTTCACCCTGTTTGTCCCAAGTGGTGTGCAAAGAAGAGGGCATGCCCTGATCAGTATTTGACATAGAGTTATGTTTAGCATACTTGTACAGTAGAAGAAATTTAGGGTCAGGAGTGAGAGAAATGTAAGTAACATTTCTTTGAGGTAGGCCTTGAACAATGAGGAGTTCCCCAAAGTGGAATGGGGGTAGGGGAACCTTTGCAGGCAAGGCAACAGCATGTATCAAATTATGGTGCTGTGATAGGAAAGAGCATGGAGTTGATACTGACATCCAGGGTACCTGAAAAGTAAGGTACAGTCAGTTCTGCTTTAAACACTTGTTTGGAAGCATGGATTTGTTCCAGTGGGATTGATACTTTAGGAAACAAGTTGAATATAACGGGAATATTGAGTTTAGTGTGCATAATTTCATCATTGGTAATAGGTAAACAGAAAATTGAACTCAGCTGAACCAAGCCATGTAGACTATATACACGTCAGACATCCACCAGCTATCTCAGTTGACTGTGTGTGCCATGAGCCACACCCTGTGCACGTCTCTTGTTACAACACTCACCCTATTTCCCAATAACTCATGAGCTGCAGAGCTGGTTAAGTGCCATAGTTGTAGTATGTATGCATTTCTTAACCATTTAATTTGTCAAACTGTGCTGTCATTTTTGTTAGGTTTTTGTTAGCTTCTTACCGTGTGTGTGTAAGTTTACCATCTTAAGTTTTTGGGTGTTATACCCTTAATTCCACTTTTTCCCATAAACCCTGTGGACTTTTTGTGTCGTATGGTGATTTTTAGGAAAACATACGTCTGTAACTACAAATGAGGCCGGACAGGTGAGTTGTTGGCTATACACGTGAAGGCAATGGGTTCGATCATTTTGGAACATTTGCAATATTCTTGGGCCTCTTGGAGTCTGGCCGATTTTTTTGAGCTACCACGTGAAGCTTTTAACTTCCTCTGGCCCACTTAATGTTCTTCCTACGGCTTTCCTGCTTTTTCTCTTAGAACATTCCCAACATTCCCTTTATAATAGGTGCTTGCTGTCCTGGGAGCCAAAGACCATTGACTTAATATTTTACTTTCTAGGGAGAGAGTTGAAGAGAAGAGGATCTGGATTTCACTGCCAAGGTTAATGTCTTTAGAGAATTGGGTTTGGCT